GTAGTACAGTAGGTCCACATATTCCTTTAGTTGTGTTGTGCTGACTGTCCCTACTTTCCAGGAGTTTGTATACAGTACACCTACTGTATATTCAAACCTGAAAAGAACTGGATGCTTATCCTGTCCCCACAAAGCCCTTTTTGTTTGCTGATGGTGGAAAGAAGGGCTTATCTGTGTGGTCCAGCCTCTACCCCTCACGGAGAGATGTCTGGACCCTTCCTCATCTCCTCCCTTCCTGTCTCTCTCAATTCCTCCCTGGCTCACAGTTGGACACACACACACACTCTCTCTCTCTCTTTTGTGAATATATTGCCATCCTCATTAGGCTTCAAGGCAGAGGGGAAGGGGGATAATGGAGGGAGGCAGAGATGGAGACAGAGGGAGATGCAGAAGGAGTAATTTTCTTATATCAGGAGCCTTTATTTTGGGGAAAATGGGATTTTTTTTCTAAAACAGACCTGACCTGTTCAGGCTGATTGCAGAAATTGCAAACCAAGCACTTTGGCCAATCATTTCTTATCTTCAGCATTTAATTTTGCATCTACACTAAAAACAGATCTGCCTTTATACTCAGATTTAGTGAGTATAGCTAGAAATGAAAAGAGCACATCTCTCTTCAAAGGCCAACACACAGCACATGTTCATATGGACACACACAGCATTGTAAACAAGTCTCTGCCACAGACTGTAGACTAAAAGCCTGATGTAATATGACACTCCAGTTCTATAATTTGTTTTATGAGTCACCCTCAGTGTCATTATCAAGGAAATGATTTATGGGCAGAAGCAGACTGGAGTATATGATGGACCACAAAAAAGCCTTGACCACTTAATTATCATACAAGCTTGTTTGCTTGCTTTAAGCACAATGAAGAAAGCCTCTCGCTGTTTTATTCCTGGATCAAGTATGCAGGATAGCTCAGCAGGTGTCTTTGTCCCCGTAAGCATCTCCATTATCTTTAGCACAGTTCATGATGCAGTTAGCAGCATTGGATTTCAGAGCACTAATTTAGAAAAAAGGACTTTCTGGACTCTAAGCAAATTATGTTGCTGTGTAGATTATATTTCACAGCAATTAGCAGCTCTCCCTTGTATTTGGAAGTAAGTTAATACTTTATTCCTCCTTGGACTGTGAATAAAAAGTGCTTTTCTTAATCATCAACCAAGGAGAAAAATCAAAATGATCTGGGGCTTGTAGGTTTACTGAAGTGTTTAATTGTTGTAATTGGAGTATTATAACATTACACTGGTGGTTCTGTAGATGTTGCACACTGCAACAATTCTGATCAGCACTTACATCTGTTTTAAGACTGGATTTATAGTGTATTTTAGAGATGAAGGGAAAGTAAGTAGCGCCACTCTGTTACATTTATTGTACTGCAACAACACCACAGCCACTTGCTTAGTAATGAAGTTTTGTTGTGATCTAAAATCAGGGATACAGCAGCAACAAATGTCTGCACAGTTTGTTTCTTCCCACTTCCCTCAGGTATTAGATTTTTATTTGGAACTTTAGCATCAGGGCCAGTCACCCCTGTTTAGATTTCTCATCTCAGCTAGTCACCTGACACGCCTTTCCACAACTGTTTTTAGTTTTGACATTTGCTCTACACTTAAAATCGATGACCATTCGTGCTCCTTTTTTGCGAGATGTTAATATTTGTACATGACCTGCCATTTCTGCCTAGTTTTCTATTCCTGCGATGTCTTTTCAGTGAACTGTGCTAAACTTTTCTGCCTTTATTTGCATTTGGATTCTAACTCAGCGTTACTGAGCTGTAACACTGTAAGAATAAAGTAAGTGTGTGCCCAACTGGAGCTTGTTCAGGCAGTGGTAAAATCAGATTAGAAACTGTTCTTTTCTGGGTTGAGTTAATGCAGCTACAAAACTGCAGAGACCATCACACAAACACAGACAAGAAAAGTACAAATGAATAAAACTTTATGTCAGGGTGGCACTAATAGTTATCTTCACTGATTAACCTGCAGATGATCAATTAATGGATTAATGATTTGTCACAAACTAGTGAAGGATGCCCACTATAATTGATGTGTTCAAAAAACTCTTCAGTTCACAATCATAAGCCAAAGAAAAGCATCAAGTCCTCAGCTTTGAGAAGCTTTAATCACCAAATGCTGAAAGCCTATTCTTGAAAAATGACAAATGATTCTCAGAATAGTTGCAGATTAGTTTTGTTGATTGGCTGATTTATTGTTGCAACATATTGGCCAGTCTTGCAGGTGACAAGCTGTCAAGAGGTGCAAACACATGTGCAATGTAATTTTTGTCAGACTCCCATGTTTTGCACCGCCTCTGCTTGGTTGGGAAAAGACGAAAACCCGAACAAAAACAATAGGCCCTCAGGATACTCAAAATAGTTTCTGTCATTCAGGAGGGATTATTATGGGGAGCGGTCATGTAAACAGATTAAATAGAATGGGAAATGGAAATGCCAGAATGAAGATCTGTAAAGACACAGTAAGCTCCACTGATTGTGAAATAAGAAATTTGTTGCAGAAGTTGAGCTGAAGAGCTGTACAGCAGTGTTTGTAGTTGAGTCATGACCAATAAGAGAAATAAGTGGCACACTGTCAGTAACAGTGACCCCTGCCAACCCAGAGACATGAATTGTTACAGACTTGAATGAAATGGTTGCATATGTGGTTCAACTTCAAGGCCTACTAATCACTGTGTGATTTTTGCCCAAGGTCAGAGGACATCACAGGTTTCTCCGCATGACCAAGTGGTTGGCTTCTATACTCATAGGAAGTCTAATCAGTTCTGTTGTTCCACAGACAAAAAGAGTATATATATTTTACCATTAAAGGTGGCTCACCAAGCTTTTTTTGTGTGCCAGAAAAAAACTTATACACTTCATGGGCTACCAGCCATTTCATGCCTCACGTTTGAAACACTCTTAAGGCCTTTGTGTTCCAGAGTGATTTTTAGGAGGAGGCTGTGTGATTTTTATATTGAGTGAAATGATGTAAGAAGTGTCACTAAATTAAACAATTTAGTCAGCAGTCTTTCACTGTCGGTTAGATATTTAGCATTTGTCATGGGCTCCATGTATAAAGGTGCAGACTTTAGTATGTATTTAGATCAGTTAGGAGCTTAAAACATTCAAATCTTCACCCTGATGGCTGAAAAAACAGCCATGTGGAAGGTAGTTTTATGTGGTTTGTTCCAGTGACAATGTAGCTACAGTGCATTCACCTGGATCATGCTTAATTCTATTTGTCATGCAGTATAACAATACCCTGTGCAATTGTTATTCTGTATAGAAATGTTTCTCTTATTTATCTGCAACGTGATGCGGCTGAAAGTAATACTTTCACTTTTTCCAGAAATGGTAAAGAAAAACAAGGCAGTTTCAGGGTTTTGCTGCTGTCGGTTCTCTGCAGTATCTACAGTACATTGTATATTCCTTTATTATGTTTTATCAAATGAAAAACAAAACAAAATAACAAAAGGGTACTCTCTGCACAGCAGCTTTAAACATGGACTGCCATAATAAAAAGATAACACCCTGATTGCTTTTGCAATGTGTTGGCTTTTAATAAGCAACTTGACACTGTTTCCGGGTTTGTCAAGACTGCAGGAAATAACAGCATCTATCAATACAACTGCTGCTCATTTAGGGAAATAAGTTGCATACATTTCTGTGGGTAGGAAATTATTTTATATACCTTTCATACATCATTTTCAAGAGCATTGGTGTTTGGATTAAACTTGAGTAGCATGGTTTATCTGAAAAATCAGATGCACTCTGAAAATAAACTGTTCTTGGAGCTGGTACATTACTCTTACATAACAGCCTTCACTTCAGAATTTTTTTAAGGTCACAGTTCAGCACTTCATCCATCATAGAAACAGTGGACAGGAAATATGCAGACTGGATCGTTAAACTTTATGAATACACTGTTTTATATTTTAAGAATCAGTGTTACTTTATTTCAGAGCTAAATGAAAGAATCTGGAACAAAGAAGACTGCTACCAAATATTTACCCTCCACAGTAGATTGAGTCCTGTTTTCTCATTATTACTAAGTACTTTTCTCATCTGAGTGTATTAAAGACATTAACATATCAAGACAACAATTGATGTGGTGCTACGCTTAATGGCTTATGTTTTGAGTGACCATTTGTTGTAGTTGAATTGTTCACAAACTTGAAAGAATCAGCTGAATCAGGGATGCTTAACATAACTATTGAAAGAGTTTCATTCTGATTCCTTTTCATACTTGTGGGTGCAGTAAATTGTTGGCAAAGGATAGCAACTGTTCTCTGTGGCTACGTTCACATTACAGGCCTTAATGCTCAGTTCCAGGTTTTTTGTGAGATCTAGGCTTTTGATGTTGCTGGTTCATATTTGTAAGTGACCTGTAACTGACACCGGCATGAAAATCGCTGAGGTTCTAAACTGTCAACAGGTTTACCTGAAATATGAGCCCGGTGCGTACAAGAATCACATCATCACTTGTGCAATGGTCAAATCACGCGCTGTCCATCAGAATGGTTGGTTGTGATATTTTAATTCCAGCTTGGCTTGATCAGAAGTGTCTGCATAAAAGTTAAGCAAATGTGAAACCTTTGTGTCTCTCTACTGACCATTGCTCACTGTTGTTGTGGTAATGTGAACGTAGCTGGTTTATGTATGATGAACCCTTTTTTTTTCTTGAAGTGGTAGTTTTTCACACCATAGTAAAAATTTGTTCTTTCACTTTATATATGCAAGTTAATTTCTGTAATTTTACATGTACAGTATATACAGTGTTGTGGTATTTGAATGAGAAATTATGCCTATGTGCTAGATTTCCAAAGAACATCCTTTTTATTAAAAAAAATAAAATAAAATAACAGCCGAATTTGTTGTTTGCAACTTCCAGTTTGAAGTGTTATTTTCTTTTCTGTTGCATCCACCTCTCATTCTCTTTCTGATTCTCTCCTTTCCGCTTTTCTCTGCAGGTGTGTCATGAGTGTGTTTTTTTCTCCACAGGTGTCATTCTTCCTGTTCATTGTGTTTGTGGTTTACACCATGCTGCCATTCTCTATGCGAGACGCCATCATTGCCAGTGTCCTGACCTCCGCCTCTCACACCATTGTGTTGAGTGTCTGCCTGTCCACCACAGCTGATCACATGGAGCCAGTAGTGTGGCAGGTAAGGTGATCAAATACAAGTGTGAGTTAACTGTATATGGCACAGTCTTGTTTGAAAACAAACAGTGAATTGTACAAATCCACAAACTGTCCACACACATCTGTGCATCTTAACTTAAAACAGTATCTCTCTAATTAATTATGTGCATAATTATGGGGGTATATTCACACAGAAAAAAAAAAACACAGTTCAACGTAACAATAAATGCACTTAATAGTTTTTTTGCCTAGAGTTACATAAGAAATACAAACCTTTGCATTTTCTTAAAAATGCCACTGCCATGCTTGTACTGTGAATAGAGAGCTACTACCAGCAGCGGGTCAAGCTTCTCTTAGCATAAAGACTGGAAACAGGAATACTTCATGACTCCGTGGTGCAGTCAAAAGGTAACAGTCCTCTTAACAGCAGCCCTCAAGCTCACTAAATGAAATGGATTTTATCTGGAAAAAAAAAAGGTATTAAAAATGATAGTCTGCAGGCACTCCACAGACCGACGTACCATATACCCTTCATGATCTCAGGGGTTCAACTCTGACCACTGACATCTTTGTCATAGGTCTCTGTCTTCCCTGTTTCCTGCCTCCCTCTCTGCACCTGGCTGATTAATAAAGGCTAAAAAAGCGTGAATAAAAAGATAATTTGCAACTTTGTCCTGACAGGAACAAGTTTCTTTCTGCCTGGCGTTAATAACTGGTACTAACCTGCTGTATTCACACTATATGGGAAGTATAATCACATTTGTTGTTTGCATTATTTTGTTTATTATTCAGATAGAATTTTAATATGATTGTTTTCCTTCCTAGACATTTAATGTCCCCAGTCCTGCTTACAAAAAACAGTATTCATCAGTCTTTATTTTTAGCAAACAAACAAATATGACCTTTCAATCTAATTTAACATAGTAGGTGAGTGATAAAAATTCTAATGTGTGTGTGTTTTTTTTATTAATTTTTTTTATTAAAATGTCACCCTCTTTCCAGCAGTATTGCTCAGAATGTTCAGGCAGTTAATATATATGCTGAAAAAGATGAATAAATAACAAAAGGAAAAGGAAACCAGTTGTCTGGGTAAAGCTTTAATTAATTTGAGCTTATTCAAACCAGATTCCAAAAGTCAGCATTTGCCAATACTCCTAGGGCTAAGTCCAACTAATGCATAAAGGAAACAACATGCCTTGCCTCACTGATTATCATAGATATCAGAGAGCAATCAGGCAAGGCATTGCTAGCGTTCAAAAAGACCCAGGAAGTGTGTAGTACCATACCTTTTTCAGCTGTGTTGCTTAATCGCAATCTGAGTTATGGTTGCATGAGAAAGAGTTGATTTATAAATAGCTATTCATCTTAGTGGTGCAATTTTCTATCACACAGTATGACTGCCACTAAGATTTTTTGCAGACATTATTATAAGATTGATGTCCTGTGTTCAGTAGCTCATCTTTTTTCCTTTTCTATATGGCTGGTTGAGACAGCTTTTCAAATCTCCCCCAAGGATAAGGACACAATAATCTATCCCTAACAAAATGAATCAAAAATGGAATTTATGGTCTTATATTCAAAAGAAATATTGTCCTTCATTTTATGAAAATATTTTCTGTGCATCTTTAAAACATTTCTTCATAGACTTACAGAATTATGCACATTGTGGCATTTGTGCAGCTAGAGCTCTGTCCTACTAGTCCAGTGATCTTGTGCCTGTGTTTTCACGCCCTTCATATTCTCTTCTCTTAAACCTTTGCAAACATTTTCTTTTGCTTCTGTGAAATTTGCTGATGATTTGCTGTTGTTTGTTCTATGATAGCATTTTTCTCTTCTTTCATGCAACTGTAGCTTGGGCATACTGGCATCAGGGCAGCCTGGGGCTGTATGTTGCATGGTCACTATCTGCCAGCTTCTCATGTGCATCAGGTCCGTTTGCTGTCACCAGTGGCAAATCTGCCAGAGAAGGGTGTAGAAATTGTAAAAATATCGGGTAGGATCAGGAAAGTGAAAGCAACAAAGCGATGTTAGGATGATTGAAATATTTCTAACAAAACAAAATACAAGGATTTATGTTTTTGGATTTCTTTCAGTGGGATGAAACAAATGTAGTGGAACAGCAGATGTTTTTTCACATAAATACACAGTCACATTGCAGGAGCTTAGCATCCTCATGGGGATGAAAAGCAGGCCTCTAAAATGTATATCATTCATTTCTGGACTGACAGCTTGGTTTAAGGTTAGGTGAGGTTAAGGTTAGTCAAGTGGTTATGGTTAAGGTTAGAGTAAGTCTCTAGGAAGTGAATGTAAGTAAATGTAATGTCCCCTGAAGTTATGGAAACACAACATATGTGTGTGTGTGTGTGGGGGGGGGATCAAGTTGTAAAGCAGGAGACAGATTGTGCAGCAATCTGCAGTCACGGTGTCGTGCTGGGCTAGACGGGGCATTGGCAAGGAAGGAAATGTCCACCAGTTAACAGAATACCAAACACTGGCTGTTCTATGTCTTATCAGATTTTTTTTCTTTTTTTTTAATTGCAACACAAAACTTGGCACATTACTGTATAAACAGGACAAGGCATGTCAGACAAATCTATGGATACAGGACTTTAAAAAAGGCCTGGGGCTACATTTACTGGAGCTTTTACATGTGGCAAACAAGCAAATAAATAATAAGACCAGGGGAGGTACTGGTAGCATGTTTGCCCTGAGCCACGGGCACTGGAGCGATAACAAGATCAGGTCACCATCAGGGAGCTCCAGAGCAGCACAGCAGGGTAAGGTCAACAGTGATGTCTTTTATGTCGACTGTTCTTAAGGCCAAGGGTGCACTTCTGATCCTGGTGACAGCAGAGGATAAATCATTAAAACTTGTTGCACAAATACAGTTTGTGTGTACTGTATGTGGAGTCAAGTGCAGCGGTGCCTTTACATCTACTTATATTTTGTTTAAAATACATATTTAACAACAGATTTTGTAGTTAGATTTGAGATTTTTTTTCTGTTTTATACTTTGTCAGCAGTTTCAGACATCTTGGCACAGAGTAAAAAAAAAGGGGGGGGGCCTATTTGTAAGAAGAGGAATACTGTCCCATCACTGTCTTGAAAAATGAGACCTTACAGTTGTAAACTATTCCCTCAGTGGCCAACTTGCACATAGAGTATATGTGCTGCAAGATAAAGACGTCGGGTCATAAAGCATAAAACCAGTTTAAAAACGCAGAAGCTGGTGAAATCTCGAAGCTGAATAAATCACAGTTTGGCAGTGACGATACTAGACCTTCCTTCTAGGTACATTTATGAAATGATTCAAGCTGTTTTCACTCTTCATTTTTGCAGGTGCCAGTGGTGCTATACAAGTACATGTTGTGTGCCATGGAAACGGCACCCTGAGTGCTTTCTTTTAGGGGAATATTGGATCCAGTAACCTGATGCTTTCCCACTTTAGTACTTGTTGTAGTGGGGTACTAGTTCCCATTATTGCCCCATAGCAGCTGTGACAAAGAAATAAAAAGCACACTGAGGTTCTTGGTAATACAGATCTTTCTAGACACATTGTGCAAACAGAATTTTTAACAAATCACAACAAACATCGTCTCAGGACACTTTACAAAGTAAGGTCTAGACCTTACTATTATTATTATTGAGGAAAACCCCAACAAACAACCAGCTATTGGTGATGTTGGTCACTCGGTTGTATAAACCATTTCAGTCATGTCCATTAACAATATTGCAGTCTGGACAGGTATAAAGTACAACGTACAACCACTGTATGGCTCATTACTCATATTTTTCAGAAACCAATTAAACAAGTAATGAATACCAAAATCACAGTGAAAATAGTTTTAACAAATTACTGCATTAATTAAAATGTTTTTTAACTACTTTAATTGTACAGAAGCATGATCAGCAGCTCAGTGACTTCTTTGGTTTACTGGTTTTTATTCGCATTCTATTTTAAATACCGCAAAGAAAAGATTCATTTCTAAGCTGCTTTTCAGAGCTTTCAGCCATATATCCACCTTGCCATCTTTGGCAATTGAACGTTCAGGTTTCATCATATGACCGAAGCACTGAAAGTGAAAAGAAGTGGTTGTATAAAAGGAGCTGAGTTCTGTACTTAGATCACATCATAACAACTGAGCTAGTTCCATTCCCTGGAGAAGACCACAGGATACAATATGAACCCTAGTCTAGACAAAGCCTCTAAGTGAACCTTGAGTGAAAATAAAACTGAAAGACAAGTAGACAAACGAGTGTGATGTGTTGTCCCTGGAGTCCTGTCAGTAGCTGCTGTACTATATATTGTTTTTCCTGCTTTTCTTTCCATTCGAAGATGGTGTAACTGCATTTTAGATTCATTTTATTCAGCTCCACCCCGGGTAGCTTATTACTTTGCCCATAGCTTTCATTGTTTTTTTTTTTGTTAGTCAGCTGTGATCTAGGTTGTGTCACTTTTGCTTTAGCTTCACATTTCTCTGTCCTGTGTGCTGTTGAATTCTAATTTAACTGTGTTAATCATTATAATAATATTAAAACAACTCAGGTGCACTCCTCAGGCTGAGGTAATCTGTAGAGTGATGTATTTTTCTATTGGGCATATTTGTAATCTCTTTCTGAACAGAAAACATTTATAAATCAGCTGTTATTCCGAACCACGTTTGCCACATATCTAGCTGCATACTAGTTTGAATATAGCTGCATATTTAATCAGAGTTGGTCTGAAATTTTGGCCTGTGCTCTATTTAACTTTCATAGTAAGGCAATATGAGAAGGTGTGTCAGTACCCAATGTGCATCTGCATTAACAGACATTATGCATGTGTTTTGCATAAAAGGCAGCTGAATGGTCACTGATTGTGACCACGGAAATGAACTGACAAAATAAATGCTTACAATATTTACTGTAATATCAACAATTTTAATCTTTTAACACAAACTCCCACACATAAAGTGAACCATCCTCAAGAGGAAATAGGGCATTAATGGTGATTATTATGTGATCTCTCTGTATTTCATATCT